TTGAAAATGATGGTGGCAGCAATTGTACAATTATGTAAGAGCTCTCAATAAAATGATTTTTTTTTAAAGGCAAGCACATACTAACTCTGATGAAAGGGAAGGCAGTATATAAGGACATGGTCAGCAAAAAGAGGGAAAAGGGCAAAGAGACATTGGGAGGCGTACAGTTAAAGGCAACAGTAGTAAATGATATATAAAACATCCTGCAATAGTAATAATAATCATATGTTGGCATAAAAGTTGAGCATATATAGAAAGAAGACTAGGACAGCCACAAATAGGTTTATACACAAAGAAATATAGATTAAACATGGTTTTAATGGAGGATATAGATTTATTCACATATGCTGCAAATCCATGAATAAAACAACATATAAATAATAGGACATAACATAAATAGACGGATACAAAACTTAGCCTAAATTAAACATCCTTAGGGAACGCGTCACTGGGCCTGAGGGCTCAGGACCATAAGCCTTGGGCTACATCACCCTCTGTTGGCATACAGAGTACACAAGGTCAAATCTTGTACATAATACTTTGTTGAGTAGCAACAAGGGCCAGGGGTCCTCAAACTTTTTAAACAGGGGGCCAGTTCACTGTCCCTCAGACCCGTTGGAGGGCAGGACTATAGTTTTAAAAAACCCTATGAACAAACTCCTGTGCACACTGCACGTATCTTATTTTGAAGTAAAAAACAAAATAGGGCAAAAACACCAGGTGGACAGGATAAACGTCCTAGGCGGGCCATGTGCTTGTGAGTGGCCATTTAAGGTACAACTAATGGTCTCCAACAAGAGCAAAGAAGAGTGAAGAAAGTTGAAGATGCAAGAAAACAATCAATCCAATGGACTAATGGTTATGTAAACCTCAGTCTTGATGACCCTAAAACCAGAAGAACTAGCTGGTGCCTAGATACCCATTACTGATTCCTCTGAGAAGGATTCACATTAGGTCATCTTGGATAGAACATGAGAAAATTGTGGATCAAAACTCAAAATTACAACAAAGACATGGCTTAGAGAGGCTGGTTGAACTCCTGAGACTATGGGTTATAGTCACTCTTCAGGGCTGGAACTAAGCTTAGACTCATGGCTCAATTTTTAGCCCAACAATATATATGGGATAGTCTATGTGGGATTCAGCAACAGTGGAGTTGCAGATGCTCCTCAGAATAATCAACTATTTGGGACATCAAAGGCAACATTTGTCCAAAGACAAAATCCAGAAGGGTTAGGGGAAAAAAAGAGTTGAGAAGTTCAAGGATGAAGTGAGTAAGTGATGTTACATTGATGGTATGACAATGACATGAAACAAAATGTGGGTGAGTTCTCAAATGTAAAATGGATTTATTTGCTTGGTAAAACTTCACCCAATTCACAATTTAAAAAAATCATAATCACATGGAATTTGTCCAGGTAACTAAAATGGCATTTCACATTTTCTTTATGTAGCTATCAATCATTTCCTGTGTTCCCCCAACAAAACTGCCAAAAAGCAGAGAAATGATAACTAAAAGTATTATTTGGAAATGAAGACAAACAAGTATGTTTACCTTCTTCATTCAATCTTAGGACACTGGCCAAGCAGTTGAAATGCTGTGGTTTTATCAAATTAGCAAAACACAAAATCAATTCATTCAAAAAATAAAAACCTACAGAGTTCTTCTATTTTGATGCTAAAACCATTGCACCACCAGGGTCCCTTTTAGAAGCACATACTCTAATATTTGTGGATGAGATTATCTATCAGAAACCATTCATAACACAATAGTAGGTAGGTATATGGATGAAACAAACATGGCCATGAGTTGAGGAATTTAAGTGCAGTATTGCTGTCCTGTGTATTTAAAGGAGCCCTGGTGGCATGGTGGTTACATGTCAGGCTGCTGACTGACTGCAAGACCAGCAGTTTGAAACCAGCCACTCCAAGGCAGAAAGATGAGGTTTCTACTCTTGTAAAAAGTATCTCGGAAGCCCACATGCCAGTTGTACTTTGTCCTGTATGGATGCTATGAGTCAGAACCAAGTGGATGCCAGTATTTTGTTTTGTGTATTTATTAGAAAAATCTCATTTAAAAACACACACACAAACCACAGTGAATAAAATACAAGTAATTGCTTATATACAGTGAAAACTATGAGAGCAGGAACACAAGGAGAGAACTGCCTATTTTTCTAGGTTTCAAAACTTTTCCACCTTTGACAGGCTGCCGCCTTACTATTTTTTTAATTGGTCTTTTTAATGGAAAATGAGTTTTGCTTTTCTGGCAGTTTCTACCTTATAAAGGCTCTGGCATTCACAGGTTATACTATATCGCAATTAGGATTTATCCTTCAACCCCATAAAGTACTCCTAAAAACCTAGTGCATTAACTGATCTCTCAGCACTACAAAAGAGGTCACCTAAAAACACAACCATTCAGGGAACTCTAGGATTTGGTAATGTCTCCCTCTTCTATATCTAGATACCCCTTTTCTTAAATTGTGCCTACTTAGAATGCTAGATCTTGAAGACTTCTTCCAAATCAATGGACTGCACCTCACAGTTGCTGAATTGTCAGGAGAAACACATCTGTGGGAACTAAAACTGAATACAGTGGGGTGATGATTCAGACCACTCTCACATTCTCCTTAACACTATATTAAAATGCCCCATAGAAACGAAACCCAGTACTACAGCACAGGTGTAAAATCAGAATCCTAGAGCTTACTAGCAACAGCTTAATTCAGTATGAGTAGAAGTCCATAACAAACTTCACAGTGACTAATGTAACAAGAATGGATACTGTCAAATTGGCATTCTATGATGCTCACCTTCCCGACACAACCGCTGAAGACAAAGCGGGTGAATAAGCAAATGTGGTGAAGAAAG